CTCTCACTCTGCACCTGCACAGTTTAGAAGATCTTAAACCGCACGGTGAATCATGCACACTGAAGAGAGTGCCCTCACACCTGATGTGGAGGATAAAGGAAACGGTGGAAAGGGTTGTTTAAGGCGCGCAATTACCCCTCTAATCATTGGGTATGAGAGGGGAGGAGATGGGGTGAAGTGGCGGTGATTTGAGATGGGAGTTTTGAACAGGTACACACACTGACCTGACGGCACCACATCAACGCTTCAGCAGAGAACTTTCATTTTTACATCTCACCTATTATTCCAATAATGTAGTCTAAAGTTGTTGTTTTTTAAAATCTTGGACGTTATTGACACAGAGCCAATCTATGGTATAAATGGACTGTAACTTTCTGGGATTAATTTAAAATATTAATTATGAGCAAAAGGAAGAAGATAAAGTATCAGAGACTGAACTATTTATTTGTTAAAATATTGCCTTTAGAGTTAAATCTGTTCAGAAGAGAAACTTTGCGAAAGCATTATCTTTAAACATTTTTCAGATTTTACTATCTATTGTTTGTGCATTCAAACTTATTAGCACCATCTTTAGGCCAAGAAAGGCAGCTATTAAAATGTTGATCATCACAAAGTTTCTCATGATCAAACGACTGCATAAACTCCCTCTTCAGGACTAAATTAGGAAGTACTTCTGTTAAGAATAATTTGAAGAATTTTATGGACATTTTACTATTGCAATATTACTGCATTAAATAGTACGTTTGTGTATTCTACATACACGCAAGTGATAAATACACAACTCTTCATCGCTGGCCTGTGTTTATCACAGAAACTAAACAGACCAGAGGAGACATTTATGTGAAAGACATAATCACAATTTACGTCTATAACCTTTGAAGATGTTTACTCCCAGTGCATTTTCTGTCCTGGGTTTTCTTAAGTGTTGGCAATATCAATGGGTTATATATTTGTTTAACGTCTGCATTGTTTCAGCAGATCAATCATCAGCAGTAAATTGTCCCAGACAAATTACCCTGGACGGCAGAATAGTGAGAGAGGCCGAGAGGCTTGGAGTAACAGCATCTAATGGGCTGCTTTTGAAAGGCAGCCAACGGCTGGAAGGTTCGTTCGCTGGTTACTGATATTAAGGTAAGAGTTCGATCTCCCTCGGTGACTCCTAACCTTTCTTTCCACTGCTCTTAATCTCTTCAAGCTGTCAGTTTGCTTTTTTTTTTACTTCTCTCAGTTGACAAAACTAAATGTTCTACCTTCTAGATTCAGTGACACTGACACTAATGTTTGTATTTCTGATAAACCGGTCCTGACTGAGCGAGCAGTCGTGTCGATGAATCAGACTGCGGAACATTCACTGCTGCGGGGCAGCGATGTGAACAAGAAGCTGAGCAGAGTAAACACAAAAACAATCACATAAACACAGATTAATACAAACACACACACACACACAGCCACAGCAACGGCACCTGGGCTGACTGCATCAGGCCATTTAGGGTGGACTGGACGTTTGCCGACAACAGATGGACAAAAACTTCCAGCTTTAAGAGTCCGGGCTCCAAGGAGTGAGGATTTGAACATATTTACCCGCTGAAGTAATCACTGTTTCATTAGCTGCTGTTTCCAGGCCAGACAATCAAGAGAATTACAAAAAGCTTTGTGTTGATTGTGCCTTGGGTGATCAATATCTTTTTTTTTTTTTCATAACCGCTTGGGAAAAAGCTTTAATTTCTCTACAGCTCGGCAGAACAAAATAAATCTGCCACATTTACGACCAGACAAGGCAGAGATTAGTCCATGAATCTATGAATGTATCACCAGAAGACTAACACAGTTCCCTCTCTCTCTCTCTCTCTCTCTCTCTCTCTGAGGGTCAGGTTACCACCGTAGCTATGATTCAATCTGATGAATGTATCCACTCTATAGATTAATGTGTCCTCAAAGATCAAACAGGCGTTCCATTCAACTGGAGTTATGGTCATTTTTACAATACATTTACATTCATAATCAAGGACGTGTGTCAGACAGACCAAGAACGATTGTTTTTTACTGACTGTTCAACGATCATCCTGCTGTTTGTTTCCACCTGAAGGCTCATTCTTCTCACTGAGCTCAGGGTCACAGCACTCACAGGAACTACAATCGTTTCCAAAGCATCACAGCGAGCAGCAGTGGCCACTCCATTTTTCTGAAGCATTTTTCATCCCTATTGTATGATTTCATTAGGGGACGGTGGCTAAAGTGGTGGTGTAGTAGTAGGTCTCCTGCCTGACACCGGTGCTGGCTTCGTTAATCTACAAATCCACGCAACAACCAACGCAACGAAAGTGATTCGACCAATTTTTTCCCACCCGTGTTCTCAGACTAAATAAAGAATGTGATACCTAACTATATAACTAATAATAATAACTAATAAATGAACGTACTGGCTAAAGCGACTAGAAATATGTTATTTAGTGTTGTCATTTTCTTAACACAGAAGAGGAATGAAAAAAACCTGCATTTTCCTTCTTTCTTTTTTTTTAAATCAGTGTATTGTATAGTACAAAGTCTATGTGGTTTAATAATAAAGGCTGACCGGCATAGCAACAGTAACCAAGGGGGATGGGACATGAAAGTGTCAGTTGTTGAAAGAGCCAATCACAACAGTAGACATGGGGTGGAAAACTATAAGCCAACCTCAACAGCAACAGGTTTCACCACTGGAGTTTCACCACTGGAAGTAAACACTGGAAGGACACATACAGCACACAGGCCGAAGCACGACCTTTTTTATTCCGTCTTCTCTCGCCTCCGGCCCTACTTTAACTCTCTTTCCTTACAAACAGTCCTCTGCTCCATCCCTACCCCGGTGACAGGGGCTATCTCTCTCTCAACATCTGCGTATGTAAGGGGCTGTCCTGGAGTGTCAGTAATGACAAAGTCCCAGTGTTCCTTTCTGCCAATTAGCCTGGTCGTAATTACACAGACACATATGGAGCTGTCAATCATCGTGCTCCTCCACACAGGAACTCCTCCACCCAGCAGAGAGAGAGAGAGAGAGAGAGAGGGAGCCTCCAACAGCTCGCTCACCTCACACTGTGCCAATGAGGAGCACGAGGAGCGCTCCGTTCAATTACTCTAACTGTGCAGGAATCCCACAGTTCACAAGACTCTGAAACAGCACTACAGTCGGGGGAAAAACACTTCTGTTTTTGAGCTCCATTCGTGGAGTACACTGGTACAACTTACCAGTTACCAATTTATGCAGATGCATTCTCGTGATTGGAGCTGGAGCGGGTGTTGATGGGGTTCACTGCGGGTCAGTTATCTTGGAAATGCGAGACCATAAATTAACAGGCATATTTATCTGGCTTTAAAAAGACCAGGCTGTTTTTCCTGATTATCAGAAATTCCTGTGAAAGGAGAGGAATTCATTTGGTCTCAGCAGTGTTGCCTGAGTAACGGCACAATGATATAAATGATCCCACATCAGCTCCTGCTGTCAAACCTGACACGAGTCTGTATTGTTATGAACATTAGCCGCGCCGCCGCTAATTATACTCTTGCTACTAAAGAAAACCTCATTTGCATTATCTGTAAGTGGAACAGAACTGGAACAGTGACTGCTGAGCCGGTCCCACCCAGAGTGGCCTGGGTCTCCAACAGTACGTATGCCAAACCCATTCATATAGAGCCATGACAAACTTCACATTCAGTTTCTAAACATGCCACCAAAAAACACTCCGCTAATGACAATAATTTCAAGACCAAACAAGATGGCAACTACGCCGTGTTGGTAAAACTTGCTTTTATAAGTGGGATGGCAACTACGCCGTGTTGGTAAAACCTGGATCTAAATGACAGATCGATGAAGAGAACAGCATTCAATGTAAATCTGAGAAGTAGCTGGAGTTGAAGAAAGAAGAAAGAAGAAAGAAACTCTTAATAGACATTAAATTAGAGTTAAAAATGGCCACAGTGAGTCATTTGGTCATTTGGTTTAAAGGTACAGTGGGTAGAATCTGTCCGCAGGTATTTTTAGAGTATAATTACACAGCACAGAGTCATATTTTGTGGAATTTGGTGTCTTTTTTTTTACCATCACTGCCTTTATCACTCAGACCTATAATTTGAAATGTTGACTGTTGACATCTGATTATGAATTATATATAGTTTAAAAGGTTTAAGAGAAGAAAAAACATATAAAATAATCCAGTCATTCAGAGTGCAGTGGTGTCAATATTCCACCTGCTCTGTCTGGTCGTCTGGTCCTTCTATTCAGCTCTATCACACAGGGCTGGGATGATTAATGAAAGTGTCCAATAGCATTATTCAGATCAATAAATGAACACATCTAACAAACGATAGTTTATTGTTCTTTCATCCACTGGCAATAATTGATTTCTGTTTTCTTTTCACACATTCAGTTCTGGCTAATGGAGAGACTGATTTCCCCTGAGTGTCTCCAACAGAACTTAACTAATGAAAGTTTCATAAAAATAACATGAACATGAACAGCACCAAAGTTATTCATCAGGCGTTTCACCGCGATCACTCCTGCTGACAGTGATGCTTTTTATGACAGACTATTAGGATCACATTCAAGAACGAGAACAATTAAAACTGAGAGAATAAAGTTGTATTATTTTTTTTTAGAAATTTGAGTTTTAAATTAAATAGAATTAAGCACTAATTCTAACAAATGAAGAAGTTCACAAGAATTAAAATGATTAAGATTATAGTTGTAATATCCTCAGAAATATACTTAAATACTTAATACTTAAATACTGATTCTTTAATTCCTACAAGAACAGACGTGCAAGGAAATTATTTAATCACACATAAAAAAAAAAAATTCTTTAATTCCAAGCTTGGTGGATTTATAAAAACAAAGTAAGGTGATGGTTGGGATGAGATTTGTTCCGTACAATACTGTTGACAAAATGGTGACGTGTGAGACTCAGTGGTGGTTAATCATGACAGAGGAGAAGGAGGAAGTCCAGAGTCCTGGGAGCAGCTCTTACCTCTGGGACGTCTTCTTGTACTTGCGGCTGCCAGAAAAACAAACAAACATGAGAATTGTGAGGCGCCAACCAAAACTTCACTCTTTGTCCTGTACTGAACTTCAAATAATAAAATATTAAAAAGACTGGAACCTGCAGCAGACGTTGGATGGACACTGTCCATTTCTTATAAATGCTCTATATATTACTGTAAACTAGTTGAAATGCATAGCGTGACACACACACACTAGAAAACACCCACACAGACACACAGGTTTACGATTAAAAAAATCTTTCCTAACTCTGGGTCAAAGACTTCCCAGAGGGCGATCTATAAAAACGCTGCTGTATTCAAATGTCTTCACTCATAATCTGTATGTAAACACAGCAAATGTTTTTCAAGCAGCTTTTGTTGCTTTGTTTTCTTTTCTTTTCCCAGCATCCCCGTCATTCAGTGGCGTAGTTACATACACAGAAAAAAAAAAGTATAATGTTTACAATCACTTATGCAAATTAGGAATTAAAAAGAGCCATAATGATATTCGAAAACGAATACACATGCAAACCACTTCAACCCCTGACATCCCACCTACTGTGCGATTGCACCCGCTGGGATCCTACACAGTGACATTAAAACACTACAGTACTATCAGCTGGCCTGAAACACACCCACACATCCACGAAGAGTGAACAACAGTGTTCTAAAAGCTGAATCCACACACACACACACTTAACACGCCGTTAGCAGTGAAGTGGAGGGAAGGACAGATTCACTCCTTTGGTCCGGAGACTTACTTAAAATTCTAGTCACGCAGTTCACAGCACTTAGCTTGATTTGTTTCTCAGACATTTCCACTAACCATCTTTCACAGAGCTCAGCAAAAAATTGCAAGCTAAGGAACTTGGTCTGTGTGCAGAAATGTTGAAGGCTCCCTTGGGTCAGTGAAAAAAAAATCAATTGATCATATAAGGTCTGTTCTGTAATTAAGAAAAAAAAGTGGAATGATGTCAGGGTTGAAAGTATGAAATACAGGAAGATAACTGTAGACAAATGTGAAAAAAAAGATAAAACTCTAAGGGCAAAGGTTAAAATCTCTAATATGTCCAGTTTGGTCACTTCAACTCTGTATCACCTATCCCACCGTGTGCCCTTTTCCTGCTTCAGCCGTGCCTTGTGCCCCTCGTGTCCACCGACAACACAGAGCTTCTTCTAATTAGGCTGCTTTAACATACTGTCCTCGGCATAATGAGGATGTGGGTTGAAATGAGTCACGGGAATTCCAGGAATTGTTGTGATAATGAGGGTCACGGAGAATTTAATAAGAAAATCCAGACCTAATAGACCAAAGAAAAGGTCAATCAAATCATGGCCAGGACAGATGATTGATTAGTTACTGGTCGTTTGGTCACTGGTTAGACCAGTCCAAATAATATTTGCATTGGAGGGCAGCTGAGGGTTTCCAATGTAAAACATACACATTTGTGTCTTGACTGGGTCTGTTATCATTTTTAATAATGTGTTTTTTGTTTAAAAAAAACACACCTTTGCAGGTTAAATCATGTTTTGAATATAAGCCAAACTGTGGTTGTTGAGGAAACAAAAAAGATTCTAAAAAATAAACAACTGTTTTTTTTTCTCATGCAGAAGTTCAATGACACAAAACGTGCCATATATTGCAATGTCCCTTTAATCAACTGAGAACAAATCTGGTGATAGGTGAAGCACTGAACCATCAAAAACTTCATTAAGGTTTTACTGAGCCTGTCACTGTTTTTACCGTCACCATTTATAGGTTTGTGCCCAGGACTCAGCCTTTCACAGTCAGGGAGCGCAATCACAATTAAACCTCACCGACCCCTAAGTCCACTCATCACTTTTGACTACATTGTAACTTGGTCTTGGCCACAATTTAGTCAATACTTTTATTTAGTTTGAGTCAAATTTTAGGTTTAAATTCGGTCGACGATGAAGGCGACGGTTCATGTTTCGTGTCAAAAGAGAAATAATCCAGGTTTATTTTCATTCTGACACAAAATTTCGTTAGCTTTATTAGTCATATTTATTTATCCTATTTACATTGACTTATGTGTTCTTATTGTTTAATTTTATGTATCATTATATTATTCATAGACATAAAAAATAATCAATAACGTCCATATATCTGTCCTAGTGGACGTGTCTTTGTCACTCTAGTGTACAGAGTTCCCACTCCTGGCTTTGAACCGTCTTCTGTTTATTCTACCACTGGACACACACTCACTCTGATTGGATCTCTGTTTACATGTCCCGCCTTCTAGCCAAGCATAGCTCTAATTGACTTGTAGTCATTTCTTCCTCGTGTATACGTGACACATAATATACATTTTTTTGTCTTCTTTTTTGTAGTTACGTATCGAGCCAATTCATTAGTTTTGGTCTTGATGTCACTGAAGAAAAATGTAACACTGTTGTCCACCCTTGTTGCTGTTAATGACACATTAGAACACACTGAAACATTTCATCACAGATGTTCTAAAACAACAGTTAAATTGAAAACATTTGCTGCAAAAAAAAAAAAAAAATCTCGACTTTTTAAGGCGAGTGCCTCAGAAATATGACGTAGTCATCTGGCAACCTTGATCCTCCTTGGGCCGAGTCTTAGTTGCCCTTAAGGGAGCACTCGGTAATGAACTGTTGATCAAATGATTAAATAATTCATTGATTTTCATTAATCAGCGTGTGACAGGGAGGCCGGCCCGTCATAGTGACCTAATTTATTAATGGAAATCATTGGGGATCCATTTATCGATGCAGAAACACCAAGGTGCATTTGTCAAAGGGACGTCATAAAAAAAAAAAAAAAAAAAAATATGCGGCTCGTTCCTTGATGAGCGCATCACTCAAGGTTGAACCGAGGAAGACCCGTCCAGATCTGGAGCTCTCTCTGGCCGTCCACAGATGATTGGTGTACTCTGGAGTACACTGGCCAGAGAGAGTGCAGTGATAGTCATCCAGTGTGCACACACACACACACACACACACAAATCATACCGCTGCCAAACAAATCTCCCAGGATAAGCTGGCAGCACATACAATGTCGTAAATGTCACTTGGCTGCTGCATAACCTCACAGATACACATCTGATGTATAGAATACACACACACACACACACACACATATGTGGACACACAGAGCAAACTGTCAATCCCTTCCTGTTAAAACATACAACCTCCGCTGTGTGAAGAGTCAACATCTGTGTCTGTCCGAGCTTTCTCTCTTCAGACAGAGGCTCTTTGTGAGATTAAAGGCTAATGTGATCCCTGACACGCAACAGGAGCCCAGAGAGCGGCCAGCAGACTGCTGCAAAGCCATTATAGAAAAAATAATAATATATATATATATATATGTTTTGTTTTGTTTTTTAATAAAAAAGTCCTGGGCCTTCTGTTTATGTTTATTTGGCTCACTAGGCTTCAGAATTCCTGAAAACGACAACGGGTGATAACAGTTTATGACAAAATGAGTCATCTGACAAAACAAGATGTGGCTGAAGGTTGAAACCGCACGCACTACAGACCTAAAATGTCCAAATATCATAAAAATACTAATAAAAAAACCACTAATGGTGAATAAGTACGGGAGAGAAGTGAAGATGCTGCTGCATGAGCCCACGCTGGGTCCATTCATGTCGTAGTTGTTTTTTGGTGCAGTGGGAGAGTATTTCATTGACACCTCCCGGGGGGAAAAAAAGGAAAGATATCTTTTTCTAAACACAACCCTCCCAGCAACACAGCTGTCTCCTCCCCCCGCTGAGGGGCATGATGACAAACCCCTCCCATCCCTTTTTATTGGCACGCACTATAAGCCCCATAGGGATTTCATCTTTGGGCAAAAGGTCATAAAGGTGTTGACAGGTTGACGTCCACGTCTTTCAATCGTTGGAATATTTAAAGTTATAAAAAGGATTTTCTTAGTGGTTAATTTGTTTTTATAAAAAGCATTGGTTGTAAAATGTGGGAAAAATTCAGGGACTGTATGGTGTATACTGTATGTACACATATTTTCATTCATCAGTTATTTGCTTTCTGCGTACACCTGTGTGCACAACAAGAGTCTGGATCTAAAAAAAGAAAAAAGGAAAGAAAAAAATGTAAGGCTCCACATGGTCACCCCTATTTTGATGCACTATATTATTCCCCACGCAAAGGAAGTGGTTCAAACACATGCAAACACACACACACACGAGTAAATAAATTAATAAATTTAAAAAAAATCTGAATTTTTACTCAATTTTATCCCTGAATATTATTTTTTTTAAAATAACAAAATACAAATATTCAGAAAAAATGGAAATAAAATTTTAAAAAAGCATGCAGTAAAAAGATACATGTAGAGACACTTGGCACTGCTACACTCAGACACTTGTTGAAAATGATAATAAAGTGGTAATACTCACAGTCCTCGGAGTCGGAGCCAAATCTTCTCAATCTGTTCCGGCTGTAGGTACTTCAGGGCCGTGCTTTCAAATTCCTCAATCTCTTTGGTGGGAGACTCCATGTCAGAGGCTGTCAGTGGTCGGGACGTGTCAACAAGAGATTAAAAAAGTCAGGTCGCCAGATGCTGAAACCCAGGATGAAAGAAAGGTTTCCTTCTTCTTCTTCTTCTTCTTCTTCTTTTTCTTCTTCTTCTTTCACACTTGCAGCCAGAGCTGTGAAGGGCCGAGCACCATCCTTCTTCTCTCTCTCTTTCTCTCTCTTTTTCTCTCCTGATTGTGGGAAAGAGGGGGATCCAAACTCAGAAACAGTGCGGTAAAGCAACCAGACATGAAGCTGAAACAGTGGTGAAACTGCAGCTCTGTCTGCTTCTCCCTCCCTCTCTCTCCCACTCTGGTTCTCTCTCTCTCTCTCTCTCTCTCGCTCGCTCACTGCTCTCCTGTGTGAGCACAGGGCTCCTGGAGCTGTGCCATGCTCTCCCAGCAAACACTGGATGCAGACGGCAGGGCAGCACAATCCGGGATTAACGCACACTGCCAAGCGCGCTGCACAAGAGGGAGGGAGGAGAAACACCAGCAGTCAAAAGAGAGGGAGGAGTCGGGCCGATAATGAGGAACCATGTTCTGTTTCATCCACTGTAAAGAGCGGAGGCAGGGAGAGGAGGAGAAGGAGCAGGGATGGACAGGAGGAAGGACTGAAGACCTTGAGAGAGGACGGTGTGAGAGTTTCAAACAGAAGAATCTTCGTATTCCTCTAACAATAACCTTTTTATACCAACTATCTACAAGACCCACATTTGTTTATTGCAGTGGTTCCCAAACTGTTCTTTTTCCCTTTTGTAGACAGGACTTTTGTCAAGTCCACCTAAGTTAACATATTTGGAGCTGTGACCCCCCCCCCCCAACTTTATATACACATTGTACCACTGTTTCCAACACTGTCAATCCGACAGTAATATAAACTAATGCATCAGTGTACTTTCACATTTTGGCACAAACGGAGAAAAAATACTGAAATTAAAATTGATTTGCCCTTCTGCCCCCCTCCTTTAATACCCTTGACCCCTACGGGGGCACAGCTGGGAGAACAACACGTTGAAGAAAATGTACTGAGAGGATCATTGTATACAGTCTGAGATTACTTCAAACTACTGAGTGTATTCAGGCATGTACTGCTACCATGTACTAACATATTATGTAATATCTGTAAGAATCATTGAAAATAAAATGAAAACGCCTGGGTTTCACCAAATGATGCAAGCCCTAAAAATAATTTTGGGGATAAACGGCTGTATAACAAAATAAACGTCATTAGATGGCAGCATTGCAGCTCAGACTACATGTGAATTGAAACATATTCAATAAAAACAGTACAGAATATCCTGATTTTTAAAAGGCCAATGTGTACTTTGAATGCTAATCTGCGAGGTAAACAAAGCCAAATGTATATATATAGGCATAAATATATCTATATATATATATTTACTGTATATATAGGACTGGAAACATAAAATGACTGTAGTTTTCATTGCTTCTTCCAGAGCTACTGATGTAAACATCTAATCACAATGAAGCATCCTTTGTCTACAATTCCAAAACATGCAGGGATGAGTCAGCCCACCCTTCCACACACTCAGGTCATTCAATTACTTGATGCAGAATGCAGGGATAATGCCAGGGCACCTCCTCAAAGGGGCTCCTGCTTTCATCTGCTGAGATGGGTCCCCTGTAAGGAGGGAGGAGAAAGGTTTTGCCTGAGTGCAATGAAGCCTGCTGATGTTCCCTTCAAAGACGTACTTATCCCTGTCTCCCTCTAACGGTTCTATCTTTGCCTTTCAGTTTCCTTCCTCCTTCTGACACACTGTTTTTTCTCCCACTTTCTTTTATGTGTCACGGCTGGGCTCCAGGCGTCTGGAGCCGCAGGTGGAACCCACAGGTCAACTTGAGGGGAAACCGCATCAGTGACTTCACATTTGACTGCCGTACTTTTCCACAGGTTTGAACTCGAGGGACCCGGGCGTCCTGTCTTCTGTGTTTGCAAATGTGTCACGACGAGGTTGAGCCCAGTGGGAAAGGTTCCATCAAGAGCGCAGCACGGATCAACCACGTCACGTTGAGCCACACTACACTCATAAACAAACTCCTTCAGGAACAGTGAGGGTATGTTCCACAAGCAGAAAATGTCTCTGCTCACTAAAGGTCACTGCTCCGTTCATTCCTGCCGTGCCACAAGACTCTTTATGAGCTGCCCATCTGAGCGGCTTTCTGAGCTTTGATTACCTGCACTTATCTGCATACCTGCTGGCCACCTTGCAGCCACATTCGCCTGCAATTCACTTTCTCCTTGAGCCCCATAATCTGCCCTGTGATGTAATGAATGTCACTGCCAATTCTGCAGTAAGCCATTACAGCTATTTCCAGATTTATTATTCACACCTTTGAACTCTTCAATAGGGAATCCAATATCTGGTCCTTATATACAGTCTGTGTGGAAAACACTCAGCTGCTTTTTTTGTCTCTAACTGAAAAGATACTGTGAGAATGCATTAGCTTAATGCATGTTCATCTTCAGTCTGTCATTAGATGCTTATCAGCATTTTTTTTTACGGTTCTTTAAACCCAGTACAAAATTCATTTCGTTTTCTACTGACAAAAAAGGGTCCATTAAAATTGTAAAGGTCCCAAAGACAAACACAAACCATTTTTATTTCCACAGTAGAGAAAAAATGTCAGCCGAAATAGCAGAACCAAGAATGCAGCCTTGTGAGAAAGACGTAGCCTCCAGCTTTTGTTCTCCAGGAATCTCAGAATGCTTTCACTACATTACTAGCTGAAGAATGAATAACCTCGCAGGTAAAAGATGTCGATAAAGTTAGAGGGAACAATGTGGAAAACACTGGAAGTATGCCACCGTCTTTTATGTTCCAAATTACACAAAGGGAGGCTTCACGATAAGTAACAGTCCTGGTTAAAGCAAATGCTGAGATGACATGAAGAATGTTCCTCTTTTTAAGAGCAGACGACATTTTTAAGGTGCGTCACTGTCAGCCTCGATGTCTTTTATTGCTCTGTTGAACATTTTTCACATTTTCTAATGGAAAATAAAAACTACAAGCAGTAGGAAGTGTCCCTGAGATAAAAAAAAATCCAAACTAAATGATTAAAAAGAGATTTGAAAGCATGAAAAGGTAAAATGACAAAGTTATGAAACACAGCTTTTACAAAAATGCACTGTAATGTCCTGCAAGCCGCAGATGATTGAAATCAGTTCAAAAACTATTGGCTACCGTGATGAAAACTGCAGAAATGTCATTAGGATACTAAATTAGAGACACCTTAAATATCCTGAAAACCCAACACATTATGCAGATGTAACCTCGACACCATAGAAAATGTCATTTATATTTTTCAATTTCACCTACTAGGAATTACAGCTCTTAAAATAGGAGGCTCTATAAGGCTGGAATAATAATAATAATACACCGTTAATAATAAAGAGTAATCGTCAGAGCACAAATCTTTCCCCAGATTTAACATCGTGCCTAATTTCCTGGGACACGTATCTCAGTTCAGATGTCATAAAACTGTCAAAAAGGAGCAGTGACTTCCTGTCCCAGGATTCACCTTAGGGTCAAGGATCAGAAAACAGCCATGGCAGTAACTCACTGAGCTCAAAGTATCTAATACTGCGACCAAAACTCAAAATGCTGAACCTGCAAGATAGACTTCATTCACATTAAAGTCACCAGAGTGAGATACAAAATCACAAGCTGTTATTCAATAAACCAATTTAACATTAACTACAATAGTTATAAAAATACTCACATGACCAATTTAATATTAACTACAATAGTTATAAAAATACTCAATTTCATCATTATTTATTTATAGTTTTGTTTTTACTTGCAAGTATTAGTAAAAATGAACTGATGGTTTGTCTGCTACTGCACAGACAGTATATGGAAATACCACCAAAATGATTTCCTTAATAAGAAATGTGGTGCAGAAATACAGTCTGAAGCAGCATTGCAGATTTCTGAACGTCAAAATTGCGAGTTTGCAGCCCAGTTATTTCCATGAAAAGTCACAACATTTGGTCATGTGCCTCCACTGGTCGGCCAAGTCTAATCATCCTGGTGGTGAAGTTAGAGATGAAGGCCAAATCTGCAAAAAAAAAGGCACGGCAGCGGGGGGCCGGGGAGCCGCAGAGAAAGCCACAACAGGGGGTC